ATATGCAATGCTGAAAGGTATCCTTTAACAAGAGGTAGAAGAAGAAAAAGGTAAAGATACAAATTATGAACAACAAATACACATCTATCAACAAGTGAATCTAAAAATCAAGTGAATAAATAATCTGAAGAACAGAATAAACTGGTGATTATAATAGAATCAGGGGCATTGAAAGGGAGTGGACTGACTATTCTTGGGGAGGGGAGGGTGTGGGAGATGCTAGAAGAGACTGGACAAAAATCGTGCACCTATGGATGAGGACAGTGGGGGGGGGGAACCAGGTGGAGGGGAGCTATGGGGGGAAAAAAGAGGAACAACTGTAATAATCTGAACAATAAAGATTTAATTTAAAAAATCAATATAGACAAATATCCTCGTGTGAGAATTAACAAAAAAAGTAGCAGCATTAAGTTTTACTTCATAATAAAACAAAAACTAAATATTTACCTGACATTTCTTTAAATGGACTGACTATATATTTGTTAATAAACTGAAAAAGATAAAGAAAAATCAAAGACTACATTCTAGAAAATTGAAAAATTATTAAAGAATACATTTCAGTTAGTATTTCTCTTTTTTTTGTAAATCCTCACCTGAGGGTAAGTTTTTATTGATGTTAGAGAAAGGGAGAGAGAAACATTACTCAGTTGCCTCCCATGTGTACCTTGACCAGAGATCAAACCCACAACTTGGGTTTATGCCCTGACCAAGAATCGAACCCACAAGCTTTTGGTGTAAGTCGCTCCAGCCAACAGTATTTCACTATTAAAAAGGAAGCATTTTGCCCTAGCTGGTTTGGCTCAGTGGATAGAGCACCAGACTAAAGGGTCCCAGGTTCGATTCCAGTCAAGGGCACATGCCTAGTTATGGGCTCCATCCCCAGTGAGGGGGAGTGCAGGAGGCAGCCGATCAGTGATTCTCTCTCATCATTGATGTTTCTATCTCTCTTCCTCTCCCTTCCTCTCTGAAATAAAAAAAATTTAAAAAGGAAGCACTTTTCATAACAATGGGAGAGTAATGAGATAGAACATTTTTGTCAAAGATATAACTAAGTCAAAACCTGATAAGAAATGTTAATCTTCATCATTTAAAACTGGCCCTATCACACACTTACACATTTGTAAAGCCAGCATAGTCTTCCAGATGCAATATAAATTAGAAAAATAATTTTACAATATGTATCAAGAAACATAAAAATACTCATTCCTTTTTTTGACCCAGTAATTTGGGTTTCTAGTAAAAAGATGTATTCTCTATTATTTACTCTATATAATATATGAATAAACATACTCAGTGTAACTTCAGTTAAAATGAAAACATAAATATCCAATAGAGTCTGATTTATAGAATCTATTTGATAAAACATACTGTAGTCATTAAAAAGCATCACAGAGCCCAGTCAGTGCGGCTCAATGGTTGAGCACTGACCTATGAACCAGGAGGTCACGTTTCAATTCCAGCTTGGGGCATATGCCTGGTTGCGGGCTCAATTCCCAGTGTGGGGTGTGCAGGAGGCAGCCAATCAATGATTCTCTCTCATCATTGATGTTTCTCTCTCTCTCTCTCCTTCTCCCGTCCTCTCTGAAATCAATAAAAATATATTTAAAAGGAAAAAGAAAGCTTCTCAGGCTTTCCATTGGGATGACTTTCCTTCTACCTGAATGCTGTCCCTTAAATCTACTTCAGTGAGGTCTGCTGGTTGTGTGTGTAGGGGGAGGAGAGGGACTGAAAATGTCTTTACTTTGCTGTCATTCCTGAAAGAGTTTTACTGAATACATGTTCTATTTTCTTAAGGCTGACAGCCATTTTCTCTCAGTACATTGAAGATAGCATTCCAATGTCCTATAGCTTCTGTTGTTGCTTCTGGGAAATCAGTTGCTAAAGAAAAACAGTTGTATAGCAATCTGTTGTTTCTCTCCAGTTGCTTTTAAGATCTTTGATCTTCTGTATTTTCACTCTAATTTGTCAGGGCTTATTTTATTTCTCCTCCTTGGGAGTCACTGGACTTCCACAATATATAAGAACTGTTACCTTTTATCATCTCTGAAAAATTTTCAGCCATTTTTATTTAATAACTAGAAGCCCAGTGCACAAAAATTTGTGCACTTGGGGGCGTCCCTCAGTCCGGCCTGTGCCCTCTCGCAGTCTGGGACCCCTCAAGGGATGTCCACCTGCTGGCTTAGGCCTCTCCCCGGGGAATCAGGCCGAAGCTGGCAGTGAGACATCCCTCTGGCAGCCCAGGAGCCCTCAGGGATGTCCACTTGCCAGCGGGAAGCAGGCCTAAGCTGCAGTCGGACATCCTTAGCGCTGCTGAGGAGGCGGGAGAGGTTCCCGCCACCACCGCTGTGATGGCTGCCATCAGCCTGGCTTGTGGCTGAGCAGAGCTCCACCTGTGGGAGCGCAATGACCACCAGAGGGCATCTCCTG